GCGAAGTTAAAAAAGTTTGACTAGAAAAAATTCATAATCCTTGGATTATTGTTTGTACATTCATATTTCTACCTATTCTTCATTTCTACCCTTTTCTTGACTTGAAAGTCAGTAACCGGTAGTGGCAAGGCAGCTAACTTTTAATCCATAAAGATATTTAGATTGAGTTGGAGAATATTTATGCTCAAATTTATGTAGGGTTGGTAGCAGTTTTCACCCTTCCCGTACTTTTTCTTGATTTTTGTGAAAGTTAAATGTTAAAGCACTAAGCAAAACATAGACACTCAAAATCTCATTCATATTAGAATAAGTGTATTTAAAATATCTGGAAAATGTTTATTTTTTAAGTTTTATGCACTCTAGCGGACATACGATGCAATTTTGTATAGATAAATTGTGTCCAAGGAATATTGGGACCCCCTGTATATTGTGATGTCAATCGACACGTGATCGTAAAACATTTTCAATCAATCATGAATCAATCATTGTCAAAAATGAAAATAATAAATTAGATAAAGGAACTATTATAAAAGGACTGTCGTCAAGAATGAAGCTGAAAAGTTAAATGTCTAATTGGGTGCTCGTCTTTGTTGCATGAAATGAAATGAATAACGAAAGGAGAGAATGAGATAATTCATTAATCAGAAACAAAAAAGATCTGATAATAAAGCAGACTTGGCATTTTGTCCCCTCTGATTTCAAGAAAAATTTGGTTTTGTCTCCGGATTTTAATTATAGAAAATGGATTTTGTTTCGCGCCAACTCGGAAGAGATAGAGCTGTTAAGAATATGATACAATAAAGTAAAACTAGACGAACTTATTTTGAAGGTATAGTAAAACGGACAGCTAACTTTTAATTTATAAAGATATTTCGAGATTTTTCTTTTTTTTTATTTATAAGCATCTTATAAGCAAGCTACCTAAAATCCATTACTAGGTATTGTGGTAATCTAGCCAGTTATAGTATGTCCTCATGTGTAGTGAAAATTAATATTCTTGCTTTATCAACAACGAAGTTAAAGGGTGGTGAAAAGTGCCGCTAATACCTTCGAGAAAAGGATGGTACGGCTGTGTTCGACTTGGCAGATGACAGATATATATTTAATAGCGTGTACCTACCCGCGACTTCGTTCGCGTCGAATTAATCATTTGTAATGGTGATGATAAAGCAAAGCAAGAATTTCCATTAACATACAAACTGGATAAAATTTTCTCACATTTATGTCAGGATGAGAAAAAACAAAATGGCGATATTATTATATAACTTGGTAATATGTGAGGGGTCGTTTCATCTCGTTGGAATTTGACTTTCGAAAAATGCGTTTGCCAAAAATAAGCTTTTTATGCCAAGCAGTTTAAGCAGAATCGGGGTTAATCAATTACCCAACTTTTCGCAACACCATGGATGATTTTTTAAAAAATTTCAAAATATGTAAAAGAACAAAATAAATTATGCGTATCCAAGCGTTTTCCAGAAAAACTCACCGGTTTTTAAATAATAAATATTCTAATATTTGAGGGGCGGTTTCACCCCCTTAGAATTCGAGTTTCGAAAAATCCCTTCTTATCGAACCTCTACACCCTAAAGTCAATCCGTTTTCCAAAAATCAGCTTTTTACGTCAAGCGCTTTAAGCAGGATCGTGATTAATGAATGACCAGATTTTTCGAAACACCCTGTATACATTTTTAAAAATCTTAAAATATGTAAAAAAAACAAAATAAAATATACGTGTTTAAGCGTTTAATTGTAATATTTGAGTAGTGGTTTCACCCCCTTGGAACTGAAATTTCGAAAAATCTCTTCTTATCCAACCTCTACACCCTAGAATCAACCTGTATGCCAAAATTGAGCTTCTTACGTTGAGTGGTTTGAGCAGGATCGTGATTAATCAATATGTCAGTCACTTAAGGATTTTATATATTAGTATAGATTTACGTTTTTGCCATTTAAAAATAAAAATGCCAGGTTCTCTAAAATTCTGCCTTTATTTAGTTCTTCTTTATCTGTATTTTTTACCTCCAATTAAGTTATTTTAGAACAAAACTCTTTTGTATAAAAAATTACGGTTCAAGCCGGACGCAGCATCCCTTCTTTTCTTACCCCCCGCATGCGTCTTTCCATCTGCGTAGCGCTTATTTTTAATTCAGAAAAGTTTGCGAAAAGCCCCAGGTATGGCCCCGAGCCTAATTGCATTAAGAATCAAAACAAAAACGATGATTCGCGAGCCGTTTGAAAAGGAATAAATTAGGGAGACTGTGGCGAGAAAGAATTCTGAAAAATGGAAATTGTAATTAGACCTTCGTGGTTGGCCGAAAAAAAGAATCAGAAACAAAGGGATTATAATTAGTAAGATAATTGGTTGATAAATAAAATATAACAGTTAAAAAGACACAATATATTGAAGAAACAGACATGAAATAGTCATGTCTGCCAGCGCGATCCCGGGGCTTAAAGCGGGGGCGGCCAATCGAAAGGGTGAAATTTTGACACTAAAAATATCATAAGGTACACGTGTTATAATTGCGAAAATAGCTTTTATTTATTATTAAGAAACGTGGAAAATTGTTGGCAGACATTTTTCTAGTCGCTAAAATGACGACAGACAACGCGAACGAGGCACGACATTTTAAAAATTATTAAAAATGAAATTTGAAGAATGAAAAAAATTATGCCATATTTGCATGCCGATTGGTGAAATTTCATATTTATTTATTTTAAAAGTCGTATGTAAAAGGGCAGACAAAAAGATCGTGGCTCAATCAGCAGCAGACGGTTATCAAAAGCGCGATATTACTCTATCGCTTTATTCAGGGAACGCTGGCCGCCTCATCCATTTAAGTATAGATAAATCATATAATATACGATTATATTATAAATATATTTTTTTATTATTTCAATAACGATTTTTTTGTCTGCCCTTTTGCATACGGCTTTTTAAATTAATTGATAATAAACATGACATTCCACCAACCGACATGCATATGTATGCGATGATTTTCTTTTGCCAAAATTCTATGCCTCTTTCGCGTTGTCTGCCGGCATTTCAGCCACGAGAAAAATGTCTGTCAACAATTTTACACGTTTTCTAATAATAAATAAAAGCTATTTGGCATTATAACTCGTGTACCTTATAATATTTTTAGAGTCAAAATTTCACCCTTTCGATTGGCCGCCCCCGCTTTAAGCCCCGGGATCGCGCTGGCAGACATGACTATTTCACAATGGCTACACAAAAGGACACTTCACACAAAAAAATAGCCATGTAACGATGATAAGGTTTTTTTATGTAGCCAGCTCTCGGTCTATTTATATATTCGATCTATTTAAAAATATGCTTCAAAAAATTAATAAATTTTTAATTAATTAACGTTCGGTTTTATTTCTGAATGATGAATTATATTATATTATATTTGATTTTTTATTGTCCATTGAATATTGAAAATCCCTGTATATTTTGTAGGTCTGCTTCGGAAAAATAAATGCTCCAAAATTTTTTTTAAAAAACTATGCGATGTGACGTTTTTTACAAGGACAAAAATGTAGTAAATACTAGAGGGACCATTTTACAAAAAGAAAATCTGTCGTCGGTGGAGTTGGAAAATATTTATGCTCAAATTTATGAGGGGTTAGGTTGTAGTTTTCACACTTCCCGTACTTTTTCTTGATTTTTGTGAAAGTCAAATGTTAAATCAACCACTAAGCAAAACATAGACACCCATAATCTCATTCAAATTAGAATAGAATACATTAAAATACGCAACCAACTGTCCAATCAGGTATTGTGCAATCACGTGATGCTTTTGTCGTATGACGGTTAAATCTTTGGTTAGAGTTTTTGTTGTTGTTTTACCCTTTTTTACCGAAGAGTTTTTACCTGTTTTTACATCATATTTTTCTATTTACATCAGATTTATATTTTGTAATTGCCTATCAGACAGTACGTATTTAGAAAAATAATAAGAATTAGAATCGTGTTTTTTTTTAAATTCTGGATATTAATTGGAACTCTTAGTAACATTACTGCTTTTGATATAAAAAGTGCATTTTTGATTATTTACTTGGGTTAGGATATTAAAATATTGGTTGGATTGTACGACATAAATACATGTAGGTATGATTATTTATATAAATATATATGTATGTATTTATAAAGCTTACTAACTGTTTTGCATTTTCAGTTTTTGATTAGACATTTGATTTTATTTGTGAAATGCCCACAAAAAAGCCCACAAAATGCCCACAAAATGATTCAACATCAGTGTGTTTGCTGCATAATGGGTCATTCCTGCTGAATTTTTAGATCATTTGAAGACTACACGGGAAAAACCAGATATGTTACATTTTCATAGAAATTGATACCGACACAACTTTATAGGCAAGTGTTAGCATTATTCGAGGTACCATCAAAGAAAGCAATAATAATACGCTTAGTCCAGGAGATATTACAGCTTAGTTATTTTGCCCTACAGGAGAAAAATCAGAGTAGTCCACTCGTAATTGCATTTTCTCGGCTCCAGTTAAAATGAACAAAGCTGGTTTTTCCTGTGGTCTTGTATCTGTGGTGTATTTGCAATAACGTAAATAAATGTTTATACATATGTATGTGATGACTAAATTGGTGTTAAGGAAATAAAAGTTTTTCGATATTAATATATACCTATATATATTTATTTTGAAATAAATTACACTTTTAACAGTTTAATGGAATTTTTAAAGCCAGTTATAATATTTATAATTTAAAAACTTGAAATCATGTGAATATAATCATGCATTAAACCACAGAGTAGATTTTAGTGTTAACGTTATATAACTTGTAAGTAAAATAATAAATAAAACAAATATGAAATAACCAACAATTCTAATGTATATATTAAAATACAGTACAATAATAGACCCTCACTTAACATAGAATAATATTCTACCCAACTCAGTACTACGTCCAACATGAGTTTCAAATATATTGGGCCCTAATCGTTCCTGAAAATAGTATTTTTTTTACATTGTTATACCATATTCTAAACTATTTAATATTTAAGTCACTTAAAAAGTTAATTTGTATTGAATAATTGTCTACCATTAAAGCAAATTTGGACTAGTATTCTTGATGGGCATATTCTGTGTATGGAAAAAGGTACTTCCTCCAGATTTTGCGTTCAACCAATTTATTCTCTAAACCTGAAACATCTACGTATAAAAAATAGACAGGTCACTAATTATAATAAAATTTACCCTTAGAGTTACTTCTATTACAAGCAATTTCCATTGGTATACTTTTCCATGACAAGTAATCAACTTCCTAACATTTTTTAATTGATGTAATACTTCCTCATGATGCGAAAAGAAAATCTTTTCGTTAGCACACAAAGAACAAACGATATGTTGGCTTACTTTCAGATTAGTTACTTTTTCATAGATATCCTCATGTCAATTCAAAGACGATGAACATAAAAATGATCATCACATGAAACATCACAAACTAAAAACCTAATAAATAAGTTTATATCGAATATAGAAATAAATTTAGTGTTCTTACCTATTATCGTCCAAATCCACGTTAATAGATAATTAATTTTTTTGGATTTTTATCTTTTATTTTTAAATATATTTTTCGAACTGCTGGTTTTAGTAATTATTAAATTAAACGAACTAAAAAGTCAAAAATAATAAATAATAAACAATCCTCAATTCTCTTCTCAATTGTCAATTTTCTCCAGGTACCGAACATCATCGATACCGCACGATCTACGACGATTACTTCTTTGATCTGATTGGACAGTTCAAGGACGGTTGGTTGCGTATTTTAATGTATCCTAATTAGAATAAGGGTATTTAAAATATCTGGAAAAATAGCGAACAAACGAAGCAACTTTATATAGGTAAATTGCATCCAATGAACTTATTATGATTCTAAAAATACGTAGTAGTTCTATGTTCAATAGGGTGAGCCAAAAAAACTGACCTATGGAATTTATGGATCAAAATGAACCTAATAACCGCGAAAAAAAATATCCCCGGAAGGCAGGATTTTTAGCTCAATAATTCGTATATTTGAAAGCTTTGAAAAGTGAAGAAATGCAGTTTTAGTGTTTACTTAGTGATGTTTTTCACTTTTCAAAGCTTTCAAATATACTAATAATTGAATTGAAAAAAATACTCTCAGATATGTTTTTTAGGAAATTTTATGCTCTACAAGAATCCGCGGTGTATTTTTTTTTATCGTAAACCGTTTCAAAGTTATGGTACTTTTAATAGAAAAAGATTTTTTACGTGTTATTTAAATTGAAAACTTTGATTCACTTTATTTACCGACACTTTTAACACCGACATATTTAAAATTGAGTTAAAAATCCTGCCTTCCGGGGATATTTTTTTGTCGATTATTAGGTTCATCTTAACCCATAAATTTGATAGGTTAGTTTTTTGGCTTACCCTAATACCCAAGGAATATTGGGACACCCTGTATATTGTGATGTCAATCGACACGTGAACGTAAAACATTATCAATCAATCATTGTCAAAAATGAAAATAATAAATTAGATAAAGGAAATAGTATAAAAAGAGATTCGAAAGGACTGTCGTCAAGAATGAAACTGAAAAGTTAAATGTCTAATTGGGTGCTCGTCCTTGTTGCATGAAATGAAATGAATAACGAAAGGAGAGAATGAGATAATTCATTAATCAGAAACAAAAAAGATCTGATAATAAAGCAGACCTGGCATTTTGTCCCCTCTGATTTCAAGAAAAATTGGTTTTGTCTCCGGATTTTAATTATAGAAAATGGATTTTGTTTCGAGCTCCAACTCGGGAAGAGAGCTGTTAAGAAGACGATACAATACAGCGAAACTAGACGAACTTAATTTGAAAATATAGTGAGACGTTTTTAAATTTAAAATATATCAAGAGGCCCATTTCATAGCTGTCTCAATACTCATTTAATTATTATACAAATATGTGACAAGTTTTTTTTAATTACTTTTATATTTCCTAGAAAATTAAAATATTTTAAATGGTTTCAAAAAAATAAGAACTAATATAAATAAGGTATTTTAAAATATAATAGGATATTATCAAAATAAAAATTAGTTCACCACAATACATCAAATCACTCAGATGAGGAAGAGACGCAAATGATATAAATTAACATTCATAAATTAGGAGTTTATATAGGCTTGGAGCATTTTCCGTCGGTGCTGCCACCATCGGAGAATATCGTAAACAACCAGGGTCGCGGATATGCTATGATATAATTAAATTTATTACCCGCTAATAGATATTTAAAAACATTATAACTTTTATATTTTTTATTCAAGCTAATACAACTTTTTCGATGAGGTTAACTATAGCAGCTAGTTTTACGTACCGATTTTGCTAGCGGAGGCATAATTGGAGCAATTTTGATTATAACGTTCTTTTTAAAGGTACATAATAATTGACATACATGTCAAGTAGTGAATTGCTATGGCGATCTAGCAAGTCGGACAGAGCAAAAATACGTATTTATTACATAACTAGTAATCCGACGCTAGATTTTATGCGTTTGGGAAAATACTTGTTCTTCTCTCTTTATTAAGTATATCTTATTTCACTGAGGGCATTGGCGGTCCTCGTCGTACACACAAAAATCCGCACCCAAGGCCAGCAATGCTGACACTAGTATATTGCTTCAATCATCGAAAAGGAAAAACTATTGTGACATTTAAACCAATTAAAACGAAGACATATGTATATGAATGTTTTCTTATTCTTTCTTTTTTTGCTTATTTAATTTTTATTCGAAAGCAGACCCGTGGGAGAACGATTTAGAAAAGAGAATTCTAAACTGAGATCTTAAAATACGAAACTTATATTGAATATCAACATAAAAAAATCCCACAATGTATTTAATAGTAAAATTAATAAATTATTGCTACTACGGAAAATGTCTTATAAAATTACCTTAAATGTTTTGCCACAGCTAATCATACTTATAGTCGATTATTAACGAAGAAGAATGTGATATTAATTAAATGATGAGATATCGTACTAGAAAAAATGCAAAAATAAATAGATCAAAGAAAAAATATAAGAAGAAATATTGGAAAAGAATGAAAATAAAGAAAATAAAATAAAAAAGGATAAAAAATTAGGTTGTTCAAGAAATTCATATAAAATACAACAAACCTGGGATTAAATATGCACAAGTTCCTATAAGATTCTTTTTCTTTACTAGAGTGTTACGTCCATTTTTTATTTTTTAATTTTAAATTAATATTTGTGTTTTTTTTACCATGATGAATTTGAATTTTCAAAAATCTCAATAGTATTTTTATAAAATTTTTCTAATGAAAATGATGCAACGATAATAAAACCTCAATTACATGAAAATATAATATAATTAAAAAATAACAATCTTTATATTACTTAAAAAAATATTGCGCTGAAAGAAAATATTTTCTAAAAAAGCCTTAATTAGGTATCCGTCGTTCCTGAAGCAGAAAAAGAAATAAGAAAAAGATGGCGAGAAATGAGATAATTCATTAATCAAAGGAATGAAAAGATTTGATAAGAAAGCAGACCTAACGTTGCGTCGCTGACGAATGCAAAGGAAATTAGTTTTGTTCCTCGCTTTTAATTTTGAAAAGTGGATTTGTTGTGCCCTATATTTTAAATGGAAAATTGTTGGAAATGTTGCAAAAGCTCAAAGTAACCTGTGTTTAAATATTAAAAATATTTATATTCAAAAATAATTTTAATAATTTTTATTATATTTTACCAGGTCATTCTAAAATTGATTGGTGAATTGTTCTTGTAAAAAATTTTATAATGGTCAGTCAATTATTTTTTTCCATCAAAACTTTGTTATTTTTAGGATTAGTAAACATTATTTTTCAGAATATAAATATTTTCTTAAATATATACAATTATTTTTGTTCCTACCTAAATATATTTCTATACTTACTACATTAATCTTCCTTGTGTGGTTAGCATTAAAACATATTTATGAACTGCAGCATAAACAAATATTTTACTTTATTACAGTTGGGGGTTGGAACTTAGATATGGGCGCGTGAATAATTTTTGACTCACGTTCACTCACGGTACCCGAACATTTTATCACGCACACTCACGCACGTAAAGATATCTATAAAACCTAGTCACGCACACGCACGCTCACGCACGTAAAGATATCTCACGAGTTTTAAAGGTTCTACAGTTATAGACATATTCGCGGATTGACGCACTTCGACTCAGAACTCAGTGGTTCCAGAGAGGCTAAATTATATAAAAAAATGAAATGAACATTTAATTCTAACCTAACCAGTATTTTACAAAACTAAAGTAAGCTTAAGCATTAAACTCATACAAGTTTTTGTTTAAAAACAATATTTGGTCTACATTTTCACTGAGAAGCCGCGTTCTCCTTTCTCCTAAAACACGACGAGTGCGCCGGCGCGCGCCGAACTGCCATTCCGCGCTGCTTTACAATCTTGCGACCTTGCATTCGTTTAACCTTATCACGCACGCTCACGCACGAGGTTTTTGATTCACGCCCGCTCATGCACGAAAATCGTGATTGCAACCTAAATATTACATCACGCACATCGTGTCACGTCGTGACACGACGTGACACGATCAAAATCACGTCACGCGCTGTTACAACAGCAAAATAAAACACTAAATCACCAGAATACACCACTACACTGTACAAATATGTATTTATAAATTAAATATTGACGTGAATGAATTTTACCAGAAAACGTAGTCCCGACAAAAGGGTACCATGTACAGTGCTAAAAAAAAAATAAGTATTCTGTAATTTTTGTTAAAGTACCTACCATTGTTAATCTTTCTAAATAGATTCAAAAGTAAGTAAAAGTGCTTTACTTTTATGCTTAGGCTTTAAAATTACTTTTTATATTGTCAATCAGGTCGCAAAAATTAATAATAATATAATATGTCACACAAAAGTATAATAATAAAATTATACTTTTGTGACGTTTGAAAAAAAATATATTTTATATTATGCTAATTTTTAAATAATTATTCGTCTTTTTATTCTTTCAGATAAAAAATACTTAAATTAAAAAGTCTTCTTATTGAAAGGATTTCAATCATAGGTTTTTATTAAAAAATGTTTCTTTTTATTTATTCAATATTAGTTCTTTTTTAAGTTTCTACGACTCCAAAACGCTGTTACGTCAGCCGCATCGGCTGCCGACCGGGTCTCAATAAACTACTCGTGACACGACGTGACACGATCAAAATCACGTCACGCGCTGTTACAACAGCAAAATAAAACACTAAATCACCAGAATACACCACTACACTGGCTGCGCATTTCGCAAACCATGTTAGCATCATCAGCAGATGATTAAAACTAAATTAATATTTACAAATTGAGCGTTTTAATGAGCGAGTATACGAATAAACGCTCAATTTGTAGGTATTAGTTTAGTGGTTATCATCTGCTGATGATGCTAACATGGTTAGCGAAGCGTGCGCCCAGTGTAAAAGTAAAAGTGTAAGTGTTTTATTTTGGTATTTTGAAACAATGTAGAAAAAGTACAATAATAATT